GCTCTCTTTTTAAAAACCTTCTTGTCATGCTTTTTAGCAATGCATCCGTTACTGCCTTTTGATATTCTTGGCTGAATGGAAGCATTGATTTATTGCTGTATCACTTATTTTAAAAATAATTTTTAAAAAGGGAAACGGTAACGAAAGATATAAGTCCTAAAAAGAAAGGAAATGGGTAAATTTCACCAATGTAGACACCAAAACCAGTTTAAATCATCAGAAATAAATTGATTTCAATTCAGGAATGTGAACACGGCGACTGATTTAAATACCACATGGCTTGAACCCAATTTTTAAAGAGTCTAAACAGAAATCTATTAAAAATTGCCAGTGCAACCGTGCCCTAAGTGACTGACTTTCTTAAGAGTATATAAGGTTAATAAGGAGGGGATGGGAGAATGTTTGGGAGTTAAGTGAGAACAGTTTGGATTGGCTTGGTAAGAAGGGACGACGGCAGTGGAAAGGGTTGGAAAGAATTAAACTGGAAAGAGCAGGGGAGATGGATAAAAATTAGATTAGGTTTAGGAATAATACTATATTTCATGGAAACTGTTTTTGCAGTAACAGTTACTTGGTTCAGTTCAAGCCAAGCGATGTAGCATCTTGATTACCTGAGGGTTGGTTATGTGGTGACAGTGGAAAATGGCATAGTAAGGGTGCCAGTAATCGACACATAAGAGCAACTCGTACCAGCGACTGTGAAGATTCTTGTTTTTTTAAAAAAACGTTAAAATACATGCTTATTCCTATGAGTTATGGGCAAACCCACGCCTAATGTTTCGAATAGCAAGCGAAAGGAGGGGGAACATTCAGTGAGTTTAGAGTCTGACAGGTGACCCCACTAAATGGCAGGGGATGAATAAATACCCCATGGATGAAGTGCAGACCATGCTCCTGTCTCATGTTCTTATTCTGGCTTTGTGGGTGTTGAGGGAACAAGGAAATGAAAGGCAGGAGACTGTTTTGGCCTGCAGTCTATTGGCCTGCAGCACTCAGATCTTTAAGAAAGTAAAATTAACTGCTTCTAGAAAATAGAAAATTGGTGCATTGTTTCTTTAATAGGTAATTTTCAGAGAGGTAAGAGTGTAGGTATTAGCAGCAGCAGCAAAATGGAACAAAATCAAAAGTACTGTAACACCTTTAACAAATTTATTTTGGTGTGAGGTTTCATGGGTTCCTATCCACTGCTGCATCTGAAGAAGTTGACTGTCATCCGTAAAAGCTTATACTGAAATAAATCTGTTAGTCTTAACAATGCTGCAGTGCTTTTGTTTTTGTTGTGTTTATCAAAAGAGTCACAACATTGGGAACATTGGAAAGAAAATAATTGTTTTTCAAAAGTAATTATTTTTTTTCCCAAAGCTCTGAATAGCTACCAAAGAAGATGTGGTTTGTAAATTGAACAGGACGAACAGCTATCCCTAAAATGTTGGGGGTGGGAGCTGCGCTGGTCACAAGCTGCCAGTGCACCAAAGGAAAACGTACTGTTTTTAGCTTTTGAATATTGCCTTTTTAATAATGTAAACCGCATTGGGTTCTTTTTAAGGACAAAGGTGGGGGTAAAACATTTTTCGTAAGATTAAAAAAAAATTCCCTCCCATCTCTACATTAATTTCATTTTAAATTCACTTAAAAATAACAAAACATTTTATGGCACTGTACAGTTTAAGGAGCCACAAAATGTTTGGGTACTTTTTCCACAAGTCAGTTTATTTCTACCTCTTTTGTAATTCAAGTTTCACTGTCCTTGTAAACAATACTGAAATTATATAGTCTAAAAAACATTTTATACCACATTCTATCAGATAAGCTGGCCCATAAAGAAGGGTGACTGCCGAAGAATTGATGTTTTTGAATTATGGTGCTGGAGGAGGCTCTTGAGAATTCCCTGGACTGCAAAGAGAACAAACCTATCCATTCTGAAGGAAATCAAACCTGAGTGCTCACTGGAAGAACAGATCCTGAAGCTGAGGCTCCAATACTTTGGCCATCTCATGAGAAGAGAAGATTCCCTGGAAAAGACCCTGATGTTGGGACAGTGTGAAGGCAAGAGGAGAAGGGGACGACAGAGGATGAGATGGTTGGGCAGCATCATCGAAGCTACCAACATGAATGTGGCCCAGCTCTGGGAGGCAGTGGAAGACAGGAGGGCCTGGCATGCTCTGGTCCATGGGGTCACGAAGAGTCGGACACGACTTAACGATTAAACTACATCAAATCAGATAAGCACACACACTTTACAAAGAGTGACTAATACCAAGATTATTGATGTAACTTGTTTTCCATCTACTGCATTTTTCTGTTTATAAGATGACCCAATGTATAAGACAATTCCCCCTTTTCTAACCCCCAAATTAGAAAATTTGCACGATCGCACCCCTTTTGGTCCTGAAGCCCTTTCACGGCTGCTTCAGGATCAAAGGGGTGCGAGTGTGCCGCCCTTTCACGGCTGCGTTACCCATTTCCTAAGCCCCACAGGCAAATATCACATTTTAAAAATAATTAAACCATTCCCAAACCCTTGCATCTATTTCACTGTGTGATAGTATTGCTCTTTCTAAATTTAAAATTTTAAGAATTTTCTGCCATTTTTTTCACATTTGTCCTACAACATTTAACTGATGCGTGGAATATTTTGCATCATTTCAGTGTTTTAAATTATAAGATGAAGGCAGGAGGAGCTAATACTCCAGTACTATAGCAAGGAAACTAAATGAAAGAAATAAATGGGAGTGGCACTAAAGTCAGAAAGGGTTGGGATTGACGAGACACACCTACAAAGAAACATCATCAAAGAAACATCCATAAACTGTACAGGTCAGCACAGATAGATGAGTTATTAGGATCCACACAAGTTGATCATCCAGCAGAGGAAAGTAGAACAAAAATACATTGCCAATGTAGTGATGTAAAAAAAAACACCTAACTTTTTTTTACGTGTGTGTTTTGGTCCCACTTTTACTCTGTTGAGATCAGCAGAGTTTCAGCTCTGCATTGTATGGGCAGTGTAAAAAGCACTACTCTAATGGGTGTAAGAAAAGTTAAATAAATGCTCCTTGTGGTCAAGTTATATATTTTAGTATAGTGTCTATAGCAGTGGTCCCCAACCTTTTCGGGACCGTGGACTGGCTAAAGAAGGTGGGGCACCCCCCGTGCTTGTGCGCACGCACAAAGGAGATCTCTTTCGAGTGCAGACGCATGTGCAAAGCAGTGGGGAGCGTGTGTGCGCCCCCACCCCCTCACGTGGGCACTCATGAAGGAGCATGAAGGAGTGGGGGAGCGCTCACGCTGGCGCTGGCATGCGCGTTCATGCGCAAAGCAGCTGTGTGTGGAGAGTGCATGTGCGAGGGGGAGGTCTGTCTTCGCAGCCTGGTCTGGCTCAGGCCACGGACCAACAATGGGCCGCGGACCGGAGGTTGACGACCTCTGGTCTATAGCTTTATGAATTACCTCACCACATGTTTCCAGTCATGTTTCTTGTGGCTTCTCTTGTAGTGAATATGACTTCCATAACTTTTAATCGAGAATTAAATAGATCAATTAAGTAAATAGTTTGGGTAAGTCATTTAGAAAATTAGGGCAAACGTACCAACATTTAATTACCCATGTTGTGAAAACTGTCTCTTACAATTACATGAATTAGCTGACCTCATTTTACCTTCCTTGCCTTGATGACTTTAATTTCAGATAGCCACTTTATTATCTGCCCTAAGGTGTACAGTACTTAAGTATTTTCTAAATCTTTCTTTTACATTAAAATAAATTGGTGGTGTCAGGGAACATGAAACTAAATTTAACATATTATATTAATTGGTGTAGGTCACAAGTTCATTTCCTTTGTATAGACCTATCTATGTAACTACAAGTATAGCACTAGTTATTTTTCATATATCTGAGGGCCAATTTTTAAAAATTATTGTACTGTAAACCTCTTCTGCCTAAATCTTGCCATGCTGGCTTCTTCCCAATGCTTTTTGTGTGTATTGGTTTGCTTAATTTGTTGACAAGTTCTAATCAACTAAGCCACTGGACATTACAAACCTAGATGAGTGGCTTGCATACATGAAAAAAAATTTCTGCACTCTGGCAGTGTTCCAAACTACTCTTGTCACAAGTACCAAACCCTCTTCAGGGTGGAGGCGTCATAAAAATTGCTTGGTGTCTTTTCAGGTAACAATGTGGATTGGACAGCACCTTATGACATCATGAATTACACTTCATAATGCACTTTTATAAGGATGATGACACATGATTCATTTTGAATATTTTGAACAAACCATAAAATAGTTAAAATTTCCAAGTGGAACTATGGTAGTCCTCAACAAGAATCGAAAATTATTCGATCTTTTTCTTAATTCCGCATGATTGCATTGTTGCAAGAAAAACAGCTAAAAGTCCTGTACCATGTTCATATTACATTATACAAGATATTATTATTGCGTGAGTGAAAGCATATTATAAGATATGTAACATATCACTACAATAATTACATGCTGTCAAGTCAATTCTAATTGAGAGCAGTAGTTTCCAGGGTTTTCTAGGCAGAGAATACTCAGACCCGGTCTAGCATTTCCTCCTTCTGGATACCACACCGCTTGTCCAAGACCCCGCAGGCTGCCTCTTCTCCTACAAGGTGGAGTGGGGAATCGAACCGTTTGCTCCCACTCACTGGGCTATCTAAGCCTGCCATAGATCACTACAGCTATACAATAAACCAGCCCTCTTTTTACATGCCACATGCCTCCATAGATAGTCATTTTCTAGCTATGCTCCTCTCCTTTCCGAGATCATCCTTCCTCTCAAATAAATTTTATTTGGAAACTTAAGACTTGTCCAAATAACGTCCAAGAGTGAGTAACTAAGACTGCTATGTAGACCTGCCCAGAGCCTTAGCGCATGCTCCTACAAGGCATTAGGCTGGATTGCTCCCGGAGGTGCCACCCGCTTGCTCCGATAACCTAGCAGGAAACCCACTGGCGCATGCGCACCCTGGCCTGGGTCTGTGTGTCTGAGCAGGCGCCAGGTTCCCCTTGCTGGGCGCGAGGAGGGTGGCAAGCGAGTGGGTGACGTCAAGGCGCGGCAGCCATTACACGGAGCGGGGAGAAGGACCGAGCGGGAGCGAAACCTGTGCTTCCGCTCCTCTTGCTCTGTGTGTGTGTGTGGGTGATCGGACGGATCCTGCCATTCCCGGCCCTTTGCTTCCTTCCTTTGCTTCTTCTTTTCCGGCCGGCAGCAGCAGGCCCCCCCGAGAAGAGTCTCTGTGAGGAGGAAGGCGAGGACGACGACGACGACGACGAGGAGAGCGGCCGGGGGTTGGGCCGGGGCCGTGGGTGCCGGAGAAGGAAGGAAGGAAGGAAGCGCGGCGGCGGAGAAGGAAGGAGGGAAGGAAGGAAGGAAGCGCGGCGGCAGCGGCGGCCGGGTGAGCCAGCAGGATGGAGGAGAAGGTCTTCACGAAGGAGCTCGACCAGTGGGTGGAACAGCTGAACGAGTGCAAGCAGCTCTCCGAGGGGCAGGTGAAGAGCCTCTGCGAGAAGGTGAGCAGCCCGGTGGCGGTTCGCGGGCGGGCGGGATGGAGGTGGGGAGGCGGAGGAGGGGGAGGCTCCGGAGGGGCGCGGAGGGCCGGGCGCT